TGGCACACTTGGTGGCACGGCGCGCAGGACGTCTGTGCTGTCACCCGTCTCTGCTGCCGCTTTGTTACCTTCTCCATCCCTACCACGAGGCATCCTGGTACTCGTGAGCTTAACACGCACGCAGTGCTCTCTAAAGTAAATATATGCATAAGCTGAAAATAGTGGGAGGCTGTATGGGAAAGCTGTTTGCTAAACATCCTCGCTTTCCAACCTGCCGTTTGCAGTGCTGAAAGCTCCAACGCTTTTTTTGCCAGTACCAGGCTGGTTTGGTGACACCTGAAATACATCTAATGGAAGAGGCAACTTTGTTGGTGTCATGCAACACTTTTGGAGGAATTATCACCTTTTCCAGATAATATAATAGAATTTACTTCAGGCTAGTACCAGTCAGAAAGGTCCTCAAGTGCTCTCTTACACCAACGTATATCAGAGATTCCCATGTGTATCGTGATGCGTTAGAAGAGTCTGGAGTTAGACACAAGAGGACAAAATCCCTGGCCAGGTAGGTTTGTAGATAAGTACATAAAATTTGTAAGAAAGGAATCTAAAGCTAGCATTAGCTTGTAGGAGAAGTACACAAGTTTGCTCGGGTGGTGATGGAACGTGATGGCACTTGTTTGCGGAGTCAGATGTTTACTGGAGTAAGGATATAAAGGTAAATTGAGAGAAGGTGGTTGGGGAGGACATCACAGATTAATAGCAACAGGAATGCTGTGTTTCTGGGTTCCAAGAAGAAGAAATAACCGACCCATTCTATGATTCTATGATCACCACCTCGTAGAGTAATAGGCAAGCCCAGTTTTGCAGACCCTTTTTCCAGTCTCAGCACTGTGAACGATTGGTTGGAAGGTATGTTCAGTCAAGTGCTATAAGACAGCTTGTCCATAAAATACTTCTGTCCTGCTAGCCATGAGACAACAGTTAGTTGTAACAGCAGCAGCTAATGAAATATCTAAATGAAGAGTCTAAGAATACCTAAAACCTAGTTATTTTGAAAAGTAAGATTGCGTTGTGAAAGTTTAGTTTGTTCTCAGTCTCATTGCTTTTGTGTCTTTTATTTTTCTTTGTGACTGTTAACTATGATGTATGAATTGTTCAAAGAAAAGATTTTTTTGCTGCCTAGTATTTTACAACTATAGTCTGTAGACACTTTCTTGAAATGTTTGATGTTCATGTACCAATTGTTCAGTTTTCTCCCTGGTTATTCACTGTCTTCCAAAACAATATTCAGCCTTTAGCCTTCTCATTTATTAGCTTATGTGGCTTACAATCTGATGCAATTCATTAACGCAAGACTTAATTTGATCCTATTTTGGATCAAGCTATGCTTTTGTTACTCACAGGGTAGCTTTCACCTCCTAAGGATGGAATAAATACTGCTCAATATGGGGAAGTACAGCAGGACCTCCAGCCCTTTTTCTTTTGGCACAGCATCCACAGCATTTCATTTGTCCTACAGTATATAAGGAGTTACAGAAACTTAGAAATAAGATACTAGAATGAGCTACTAGGTTACCTTATCCATTTCTTTTACCAGCACAGGATAGCTCTTTGTACTTGCTTCTCAAGTGGTTCAGCTTCCATGGCTTCTCTTGGATGTCTAGGCTGCAATTCAACAAATTCTCCCTTAGGGAAAGTCCTACACTTTCCTATTCTTAGGAGTTTCTTGTAGTTAAACCAATCCTGTCAAAGTCATTTATCCTCTGTTGGTAAAAGAAAACTTATTTGAGCTAAGGAAAAATGCAGGTGGCAATTATCTGCCAAGATCCCCCTTGCCCTCCTTGGTATCAATGGTTTTGTCATAGAAATCTTTTATCTGAAAAAGTCTGGAAAGGAGGAGGAGGGGAGAGGACAAGTTTTTGTGAAGTCCTCCCACGGAAAGCTCTTCGCAATTTTTGGCTGTCTCTGTTAGCTGCTTTTGAAGAGTTATCTCTTTGCTCTCATTGTGAGAGCAAATGTTCTTGTATTAAGCAGTATAAAATGAGTGTATTTTCACGATTCCCTTCAAACTGTGAATATCATTGTAGTAAAAGTGATGGTAGCTGCCTGCTTCGAGCATTTTGCTATGACAAATGTTGAAAAAGAATGACTTAACAAAAACCTGTGACTGAGTCCTTTGGACATGATTAACAACACTGGAAGGACAAATAGTTTACAAGAATTGCTCACAGGAAGGTTTCTTTGAGCAGTTTTGCAAATGTGTGAACCCTAGAACACAATTGTGTTCCCACTTGTGTGGTAGACCAAGAACTGTTCTTACAGTCTGAATGTGAGAAACGTTTCAGAGAGAGCTTTATCTTCAATAAGGTACAGTTACCCTGACCCAAATAACCATAGGAAAGTTTGGGAAGTCCTTTCCATAATATATTCAAAATGTTATTCCCCTGAGTACACTCTCCTGTTAGGAAAACTCTGTACCATTATTTGGAAGTTCAGCCAAGAGAGTTGAGCCTGAGAACTCAAAATGAAAGTCAATTGGCTTCACAAATGGCTTTATTTTATCATGTTCTCCAGCAGCAGAGCTTCTCTTTACAGCATAGACAGCATAGAACGCTCTCAGCAGACTTCAACTTGCATCTTTTTACTGCTAGCATTAAATTGTTTGTTATTCCAACAATATTTTAAGTTTAGAGTGGCCCTTGTGAGACCTCACCTGGAGCTCTGGAGCCTCCAACACAAGAAGGACATGGACCTGTTGGAGTGGGTACAGAGCAGGCCACAAAAATGATCAAAGGGCTGGACCACCCCTCCTGCGAAGACAGGCTGAGAGAGTTGCGGCTGTTCAATCTGGAGAAGAGAAGGCTCCGGGGAGACCTTATAGCAGCCTTCCGGTACCTGAAGGGGGCTACAGGAAAGATGGGGTGGGACTCTTTATCAGGGCGTGTAGTGATAGGACAAGGGGCAATGATTTAAACTAGAGCAGGGTAGATTTAGATTAGGCAGTAGGAAGAAGGTCTTCACTATGAGGGGAATTAAATATTTTTCTAAAATATTTTGTAAAGTCAACATATGCACAATTCACTGTAGAGTAATTGTGGAAGATTTTTATAATATTTTTGCTTCAGAAAATAGCTTTTTCCTTCTCACTAAACCAATTGTAATGCACATTAAGTCACTAAGATTGGCGTCTTGCGGTCAAATAGTGAAACAGGCTGAGTTTCCTGCATACTTTCTACATAAACTGTGGATCACAGAATCAATCATGGAAAAATTTTGGTAGGAAGGGACCTCTGGAGGTCATCTAGTCCAACACCTTGCTCAGAACAGGTCCAATTACCTCAAGTAAAGTAATTTCAGAAGAATTAACAATTCTAATTTATTTTAAAGTAATTTAAATTCTTTAAATAAGGAAGGAAATGTATCATTTGATCTCAGGAGTAGCCTAGAATTCTGCATTTTGTGATGCTGTTCACTTTTATACCTAATGAAAATGGCACATCTATTTAAATGTGGACTTCAGCCCTCTTACATGTGTTAGAAATGACACAAATTAGCTGACATAATAAGCATTAAAAAAAAAAGTGTATGGAATTATAGACATTCATGAAGTGCAGAGCTGAAATTTTAGATTCTGAAATATGAAAGGAAAAGTTGCTATCTTTTGGTAGAAATTACTCTCCATCAGTAATTTGTCATTGTTTTTCTTATATAGAGAGTGTAAAAGAGAAACGTGAAATCCTACTGGAATTCATACCCTTGTGGTTAAAAAGAAATCTGCAGTCTACTTTTGTTTTATTTTAAAGGATCAATGAAATAATAGACAAAAATACATTGTATTTTTATAATTTATACTTACTTTTTGTCAATGCGACTTTAATAATAAATGTATTATTAATTAAACAAATTATTAAATTAGCATTATATTTTATTAACACAAGTTAAGTGGAACATGTGATGCTTATAAGGAAGTTAGGCTGTGGTCTCTTATGAAGAATAATTATTCATTAATGTCAACGGTAATGATGTTATTTACTCTGTGAGGAATTACAAAGAAAGATGAAGATACTGATGCTGATGTATTTCTTAAGGTCCAATTAGGGTCTATGGATAGATTTTTATCTAGTCTTAATTCAAATAAGCCCAAATGAAATCCAGTGGAAGCTTGTTTATATAAAAGCCTAGAGAAAAAAAGAGAACAAACAAACAAATGAAGACTTTAAGAGTTTGGTTCACTAATTTTATTGCCAGTTGTGCTTGGTCATATGGGTGCAACCCCAATAATTAATAAAATGCTTTGTGTTAACATATACCTTTCCAGAATGGTTTTGTAAGAAATATTGACATTCTTGAAGAAAAAAAAATTAAACAGGGAGAAACATATTTTGAAAGTTCTTTGGGATACAAAATACATCTTTAGAGAAACATAATAGGTGTATTTCTTTTTGAGGGGGGACCATAATAATAGATCAGAGATGAAATCTTTGATTCCTTTCTAGGAGAAGAAAGCATCCAGCTCACTGTATTGTTGGTCTCTGAGTTACCACGTGAGCCTTCCTGAGCCCTGGGGAAGGCAATACCAAGTGATTGTGTTACCTCCTACCGTCGAGCTCTTGGGCCAGGAGACTGTAACATGATTGTTCAGCTCCCTGGGACTGTATAGTTTGCTGTGTGGCTGTATAGAGCATTAATTCATGCACTGTATGGCTGCTTCAGTGCGGCCGTTACTTGAGAGGCTGAGCTTGAAGGAGCTGGAAGCCAGCTGCAAGGTGCCCAGTGTCTCCAGTCTCCAGGTCCTGGCCGCTGCTGGACTCGCTCCTCCACACGGGCCGTGTGAGGCACGCATGGGGGTGTGATTTCGTAATATATTGGGCAGAGGCTTTCACAAATTAGAGGGACTAATTACACTGAATCAATTATCTTCCTGAGCATCGATCTACTTTTATTTCCCTAAACAATAACACGGATATTGATCGACTTTTATTTGCCTAAACAGATTTCAGCACGTTGGTACAGAAAGTCTCTAGACGCTATAACTGTACGTTGATGTTTTCTAATATCTTTTTCATTTGTAGGTGGGATAACATTATTTGCAGTGATTACTTTAATTCTGGATTCTTTTAAAATTGGATATTATATTGATTTTTCAAACTGTTTATCACCAACTGAAGGCATTTTTCCCGTTACACATGCTGTGCACACCATCTTACAGGTAAAAGTCATTCGACGCAGTTTTATATTATATGTGTATTTCTTACTAAAAATACTTTTAATCTTGTCATCATCAGTGAATTTTACACTAATTTAATTTCTAAGCTATCACATGATACTTCTGAAGTCTAAATTCTTCTGCAAGTATATCCTTTCTATGTGTAAATTTGGCTTTTCAGCCTGAAATTGAATTGCAGCCTGAAATTCAGCTGCAAAGCTCACAGGTTTTCAGAAGTTAAATAGTCAAAAAATGCTTTCCTGTAGTAGAATTTACATGCTTTTTTTTTTTTTAGATCAAGTTATATATATCTAACTTTCAGAATTTTCAGCCTGAAATGAGGAGCTTGACTAAAGACAATTAACTTACTTCTGTATGTAGGACTTGGCATACACATGTTCAGTTCGATCTGTTGATGCTCATTTCCTGTTGTAGTTAAGGGTGGAGGTCTGATACTTCAAAGGGAAGAGAACGCTTCCCATGTATTTAGTTTGTTATGAAATATCTGCACATCTTTCCTGTAGCGGATACACATGAAGTTTCCTTCGAGAAGCATTTGGTTATGCTTATCAGTGGCTGCACAGTAGCAAGTCAGTGGCTCCAGTAAAATATTCCACCTGCTCGTTTAAGGCTTTGGGTCTATGTTATACAGTGATGTTCCACAGCTGATTATTTATGACATGAATTCCTCTGAGTCCTGGTCCCCAGATTTATAGGAAAGAAGGAAAGAAAAAGCCACTCAACTGAGATACTCAGTTATAGCCAGGTAATATAATGCACTTTCCAAGGTTATTAGGTCATTCAGAAAGAGAAGATTTTTCTAGTGGTTGTGGTTGCCTGTAAATAAGCATTTGAACAACCTACATTTTTCTGCTTTCTATAACAAAAAAAGCATTGAAAATTAAGCAGTAACTCTGACCTATCTTTTTCTCTGAGGGTGAAATTTTGATTTGGTTGAAGTAATCTTAATTTCATATTCTTATAGTATCCCCTATCTTGCAGCTTCTTTGCTTTACCCCTGAAAAACAAACAAAAGAAATTAAGTAATTTTTCCCTGCTGATCTGTATGCAGCATTCTTCATTGCCTCAGTGACCCTGAGCTGACAAGGTTTCCAGCTACCGTGGAGTGCGGAAAAAATGCAGTATAACAATGCTGAACAAACGGAACAAGAATACTAATATAAATTTTACATCACCCAGTGTTGCTGAATTTATCATCTACTTAGCTTACAGTAATGACATCTTGAGTGTTAGCCTGAGCAATCAAAGAGAATGTAAAAAAATAATTTACCAGATACCTCTTACCTAAAGCAAATCTTCTCATGTCTTTGAAACATAGGATGCAATTACAACAGACGACATCCCTATTTAGGTGTCATCTGAAAAACAAAGGATTTGTTTTCTACAAAATATGTGTCAGATTTTGTTGTACTTTAATGAGGCATCCTGATACCCGTCATTAAATTAATAAATATATACATACTGCACCTCTGCAAGTAATGAACTAACACATACCTACTCTTCCAAGACAGGCTGTGCATTACGCTCTTTAGCTGGCAGAATTCCCTTTGAGGCAATAAGTGCTTTGTGAACAAAAATTAGATTTTATACTATTTATTTACCTTATTCACTTTTCTGTTCCTAGTTCCCTCCGCTTTCTTGACTTGAATGTCTGAACAGATCTTCAAAATCTATGATTTTTAAGTTTTGAACAATGCTGTCACATCTGTTATATTTTGCTGCATCTATCCCAGAATGGGAAGTTCAGCATGGAATTAGATGGGACCGAGATGCTGATTTCAATTTGTTTCATTTAATTTTAAACCTCCATGATACCTTGTAGTCTCTACACCTGGGGTTGTACAGTGGTCACACATCCTTTTGATAAACACTTCACTAGAGGAATGAATGAACGTGTTATTACTGTGTGCTATAGGTGACACCCAGCGAACTACATTTTCCTAACTTTTTCAAAAATCAGATACTGAATGTGTTGGACCACACCAGCTGTAGTGTAGGGTGGACTTCTGGTTACTCTAATTGCTGAAGAAAAGGTTTTTGCACTTTTCAGACTATTTCTGGAACATCAAACTAAGCAGATTTCTAGGAGAAACCTTTTGGACTGTTTTTCTCCTGATAGTTCACCTGCTGTCAAGTTCATTATCCTGGGAGCTGTTCTGAGTAAACAGGACTTCCAGTTTCACCCTCGCATCCCTGAGGAATGTTGGTATCATTTTCCTTGCACTCACTCGCACTTGGAACTGATTTTGTATCAGCAACAACCTGTATCCCGAGCTTTCCAGTATCCTCCCACAGATATTCCCGCTCTTAATGCTTCTTTCCCCTTTACTTGCTAATTCAATATTGTTATCTCTCTCTTTTATTCTCCTGCTTGAGCTTTCTGCACAATGCCTGAATACAACTGCATGTGTTCCTAGTGCAGTTGTCTCTCAGACAACCTTTTCTCATGCTTCTTGGGTGCCTGTTGTTTATTATTCAAGTCTGACATCCTTTCAATTATCTCTCTCCCTCCACAGTATTTGATATATTTTAAAAATTATTCTGTATTCCTTTCATTTAGGTGTATTTTCTTTGGTGTCATGCAAAGGATATTATCCAGTCTTTCAAAACACTTGAAAGGTAAAGTAGATCTCATCCTCATCTGGAATGCTGATAGGTATAGGTCTGCACAGTACTTTACCTCCCACAGTTTTACTATATGGACTATACTTACTATATGGACTATGCTTTACTATATGGACTATACAAACTATTAGAGAGTTTGATTCTTCTCTTAGTTGTGTTAATCCAAATAAAAATTGTGTTAGTACAAATAAAAAGGAACTCCATTTACCAAAGTGAGAAGATAATCATTAGGGTGATGTTATTTTCTTATTTTAACTGTGCTTATATTTTATAATATACAAAATTCACAGAATAAGTATGTTTTTCTCATGAGAGAGGGCAGTGGGCAAGGTATGATACCACAGTGTCTCTTGTGTTTTTTGAAGTAAGTGCTGTGTATATGTATTAGGACTGTGCAATATATGTGTTTTCTTCATTTGGCTGCTGAAAGTGAGTCTGCATCAGCAACCTGTGATCAATGCAATATATCTGAGTTATTTTATAATAATTTTTACAGAAAGTACCTTTTGGAACTAGGTGCTGATGTGCAAATTCATTGGGAAACACAACTGCCCTGATAGTATCCCAAATCCGTAAGGGTTGTACACACTTCTGACACCAGAACTTGGTTCTCACAGTGTAACTGATGTGTCCTCTGAGCAGCTGAGCACATATGTACATTTGTCACAGAAGTGAGGACTAGTCTTAGAGACAGCAGAGTCAGTTCTGATGTATTTTTGTTTTGTGAGAAGGTGAATTAATGTAGATTATCTACACATAAAGCGTAAATAAACAAACATGGTAACTTTTAAAGTACTCGTCTCAAATTATCAATGAGCTGACTAGTTTCTCTAGAAAGTACAAGAAATTTACTCCGAAATGTCATTTGTGGAGAAGCTTCTTCTTTTGCTTTGCTCTCTTGGGTAAGCGTTCAAGCCTTGTGCTAATGAGGAGAGGGATTGCAGGAGGCTTTGCAACATCAGCTGATAAAATCAGTTCTGTGTATAAGTAGAATTTTAAAACACCCTAACTGCAAGTCCATCAGTGAGAGCAGTGCAGTAATAAAGATGTGTTTCTTGGTGAAGCCAAGATTACCAGCCTCAGGTGCAGGAGAGAAATGCCTGGCTTGCTGAAAACTGGGAATCTCAAAAACACATGGAGACCTACCCTTGCTGTGCCAGTAGTCTGAATGGGATAAAGCCCTTGTGGGCTTCAGCTGTCTCCAGGAGAGAAAACTGCGTGGACTAGAAGTTAGAGAAGGTGCTGGTATCTGCGAAGAGAGACCGGCCACACTGAGTAGGATGGGGCACTGCAGAAGGCTGTGAAATACAGCTTGCAAAACAGTTAACCCTGGTCAGACTGTTGAGTCACTGACATTAACATGAAGCTTCCCCGGCTCTTTGAAAGGCAACCATCATGTAAGAGAGCATAACAAATAATAACAGCATGTGTTAATGGGTTAATACATCTAGCTATTGTGTTTCTGTAAAATTTTGGAAGTCTAATATTCATTGTGCTCCACCGAGGAACTTCAGAGAGATTGGTTATAATTTTATTTTCCCTTTGCTGACAACTAAATAGTCCCATGTGGCATGACTACAGAAAGTTAATCCATTTTATTTAACATACATGGAGGTATATTTTGTGCAGATTCCTTCAATAATTACTGTATTTTATAGGTTTGGGGTTATCCATTCTGTGTTCACAAATTTACTCCTGTGGACAAATGGAGTGCTAACAGAGTCAAAACATCAACTGAATGAACATAAGGAAAGACTAATCACGCTTGGTTTTGGGAACATAACAATAGGTAAGCAAAAGGGTCGGTACATTTTGAAATTCCTGCTCTAACACACTCTCGTACAAAGTATTGTGTCACCGTAGAATGGAGCTGGGTCGTTCATGACCATGTCAGTGTAATCATTCCCAGGTAAAGGGCAGTGAGCTGATATGTAATCAGTTCAGATCACAACTAAATGGTCATTATCATATATTTGGTCCAGGCTGTTGTTTTCTTCCAAGTTCCAAATAAACTGTTTTTTGAAAGCATGTCTTTTGAGCAATAACATCACTGAGGAACACCTTCATTAGTTGATCATAGAGGTAGATTGAACATAGCAGTTTTAAAGCCAAAGTTTACTAGGTCATTCATAGAAAAACAAGTGTGAATAATCCTGCTGATCCTTCCCAGGATTACATGTGGCATGTGGTGCTAAGGGATTCAGTGGGATGACTCGGAAGGATAGGGGTTATCCCTTGGTGCTGCTTTGCAAGACAAAGATTTTGCTTTGGGTGGTTCTTTATTTAATAATGAAGCATTTTCTCCATTGGTAAGATGAGGCAAGTTCATAGAACATAGAATCATAGAATCGTAGAACATTTTTTGCTGGAGGAGACTTTGAAGATTGAGTCCAACCTTTGTCCTAGCCCTATCAACACCGCTAAACCATGTTCCTCATCAGAATATCTGTCCAACTCTTAAATATATCCAGGGATGGCAGCTCAACCACCTCCCTGGGCAGCCTGTTGCAACGCCTGACAACCCTTTCAGTAAAGAAATTCTTCCTAATATTCAACCTGAACCTCCCCTGGCACAACTTCAGGCCATTTCCCCTTGTCCTATCACTCACCACTAGGGAGAACAGACCAACCTCCGCCTCGCTACAACCTCCTTTCGAGTACTTGTAGAGAGTGACAAGGCCTCCCCTCAGCCTCCTCTTGTTGCATTCAGCAAACGTTGAGTATAACTGCTGGGAATGCCTTTTGCGTTCAAATGCCACTAAAGCATGAGGAAATTAGAAGTGCTTAACTTTAAAGAGGAAATAAAAGTTCTCAGCAGCTATAAGTAATTTTCCTCCCATGAATATTTATCAGATAAATTTTGGTTGTGTTCACAAGGGAGAAGACAGACAGCTTTTCAAGAGGAAAATGTATGTTTTCCCACCCAGTGATTTCAGTAGTGCCTTTATCCTGATTTTGCCTCTACAAAGCCAAATCCTGAATTTCTTTCTCTTTGTTTTGCATATTTATAGTCTGTATAAATTGAAAAATTTTAGGCAATTTTTAATATTTCCTGCCAAACTTCATGTGTAAGTGAAAATTTAATTTTAGAATCTTTAAAATAGTATTTTCAGTATAACTGTGTCTAAAAGTACGCCCACAATTTTGCATCTATTTGTAATTGTTACCCTTTACATGTATCTGTGGAAACTATTTAGTTTCCATTAATAGTCAGGTAGTGGAATTGATAGTTCAGAGATTTTTGTAATTATGGAGCATTAATAGAGTTAGTGGCTCTTCTTGATATTTTTACTTGTTAAATAGAAGCAGGTTCCTTATATTATTTCTTATTATTCTGCTGACAGAATTGTTAACATGATTATGAACAGTCAGAAATAGCATCTGAAACAAGGGAGAGCAAAGTAGTGATCTGCAAGACAGGTTTGGAATTAACATACAATCCACTGCAAAAGCACTTTTAAAATCTCCTAATAGTGTGTGCTCAACCCAAAACAATACAACTTTCTCATCTTATCTTCTAAAATTATAGAAAACAAAAGGAAACCTTCCAGGCACAAATCTGAGATCAGCACCTAAAAGTGTGTTCTTCATCATATATGTTTAGAAATCTATAAGTAAATACGTTGTGAAAATAAGTATTTTTTTCCCATTCCTGTGGCAATTTCTAATTTTTGACATTATTTGCTTAGGTTATAAATGCACGTTAAGTATATTTATTGTAAAAATATGAGCAATTGTTCATTGTGATGCCTTAGGAGTTGTATGATGCATGTAACTGCACAGCAGAGAGATAATGATTTCATAGGTTCCTCTCAAAAGGATAAGATTGATTTTAAAATTGCTTTTAACCTTAAAACTATCCTGGGACATTGAGTGAAATTATCTGTGGTTTGCTTCACCTCTTTCCTAGACATAAACAACTTTTTAATGAAGTGGCTTTGGTATCAGAAACCATACCAGTGTAAATAACTGATAAAAATGAGAGTAGAACTGAGCCCTGTTCTTAAGCTTGTTCTGAATCTGATCCACAGATCTCCAGGCTTCTATAAAAGCCTTCTAAGCTGAAAGGCTGAAGACTCAAAGCCCTTGGGATCTGGATTTTCATGTTATAAAAAAGTATTTTTACCAAGACCCTGCTGAAGTTTGGTGCCCTTTGGTGCTGCATTTGTTCATGATGTGATTTTTGCTCAGCGGCTGAGCAGTGGTCAGAGACCACACTTCAGTGCACACACAGAAGCTTTTTTAGGTTAATGACTTTAATGGCAAGACCTTTTCTAAGGTGGCTGTTTGACTGAAATCTTACCTTTTATGTTTTATTATTTTATATATGTTTTATTTATTCACTTGAAATGAGAAATCCTTATAATGCATGTAACTAAGCTCTCCCTCTCTTTTAGTTTTAGATGATCATGCACCTCAATGCAATTGTACAACAACAACTCTCTGTTCAATATTTTCTCAAGGAATTTATTATCTATACCCCTTTAATATAGAGTACCACATCCTAGCATCCACGATGCTCTATGTCCTGTGGAAGAACATTGGCCGCAAAGTCGAGCACCACCAGCAACATAAAACTCCATTCAAATTCCGTGGCATAACTGTTGGAATGATTTTTGGACTAATCGTGTTAACTAGCACAATAGCCATAGTTGTTGTGTATTTAATTCAGATTGGAGGTTCTAAAATCAAAAGCGAGTTGGCACTTACTATGTTTTACTTGCATGCTATCTTTGTGTTGGCTCTCATGTGTACAGCTGGGATTGTCGCCCTTCTGATCTACAGACTGGAAGATAGATCGCTGGATAACTCAAAAAATCCCGCCCGTAAACTAGATGCAGAGCTGCTGGTGGGCACAGCGGCAGGATCCTGGCTCCTCTCCTGGGGCTCGATCCTCGCCATTATCTGTGCCCAGGCTCATCCAAAATACACGTGGTATAACCTGCCCTACTCCGTCCTGGTTATTATCGAGAAATATATTCAGAACCTCTTTATCATTGAATCCATACACCGTGAGCAGGAAAAGGCGAATGATGATATTAAAACTCTTCGAATAGTGACTGTATCTCGAGGGAGCACTTTATCACTTAGCCCTTCATACAAAGAAATTTACAATGGCAGAGCAGCCCGTGACAGCGGGGAGTTGCCCTGCCTGTTCAAGGGCGGTACCTGTGGGAGAGAAAATGATGGTGGTGGTGATGGTGCCAAGGAAGAAACAAGTCACGAAAACAGTTCGGTCATGCATTCAGCCTCAGATTTCTCATTTTACAGTAGCAACTCCGTTACTAACAAGAGGAGAATTCTGAAGAACATTGCTGCATTTTTATTCCTCTGTAACCTTTCGGTAAGACGTTTTGAACATTAATTCTCAAGTTAATACCCAAAAGCTTCCCAACCTTTCAAGCCCAATAACTGTATTAAAATTACATGGTTCTATAGTTGGTAGCAAGTAAATTTTACTTCTTCTGGAAGAATAAGTGAATATGCCTTTGGGGATCAAAGTTTATTTAAACGCGGAATCTGGGAGCGTAGGCTCATTCTAGCAAAAACTGTAGCAGCAGCAGAAACTGAAATCCTCTTCCACTAGTGTGCCCCAGTAGCAACAGGGAGAGTTTTCTTAGGGATTTCTGAAACCACTTTGCACTTCAGTGGAGTCACAGTCATTAGGGGCTGGTGACTCATCTCACTGGTGATTAATATTGGCCTTGCATTCTTTCCTTGCAGCTGTGGATACCACCAGCGTTCGGGTGCCGCCCGGAATATGACAATGGACTAGAAGAAATAGTTTTTGGCTTTGAACCCTGGATAATAGTTGTGAACCTTGCGATGCCTTTTTCTATTTTCTATCGGATGCATTCAGCTGCCTCACTCTTTGAGGTCAATTGTAAAACATAGATCATATATGGTCCCTCAGTGAACAATTGATTGAATAATTAATTAAATAAATAACACTTGAATGAGCGGATGAATGAATGAGTGAGCGTAGCAACAGCTGCTCAATAAATAGGAGATTCAATAATTTTTTTTAAAAACGAAAGGACCATAGCTAATAGCATGTAATTTTTCTTTATTATTATTTTTCTTCCACATAATTTGTTAGATATGTGGTATTATTGTATAGGTACACTTTTCAGAATCATATTAGTGTTAAAATGAATAAAACTACATCGTAAAGTTAATTCAATCTCATTAATCTTTGTTTTAGTCCTGTGATTTTTCCCCTATCTAATTTGTATTGCTTTGTTTTCATTCGTTGTGGCTTGTGGAAGAGGTTTAAAAAAAAATCTGTGAGGTTTAGGAGGGAAAAATCCCAGAAACAGCTAAACTGAGTGATGCTCCTGAATCACAGAGATACTATGAAAACTCTAACTCTATTCCTAGCTAGGTTTTTGTAGTAAAACTTGAAAACATTTGCTATTTACATAAGATGTGGGAATTATTTTAAACTTCCTGAAAATGAATTAAAAAATCATTACATAATTATTAGTTTCTTAACTGTGTAGCAAAAAATCCAGGTAAATAACATATATGGTTACCTGGTACCTCCTACTTCTGTCTTTTTTTAAGAAAAAGAAATAATATTATTAAAATTGTAAGTTTTATATATGGCTAGGTATAATTTCTGATAAAACTAATTTCTATTAATGCAGCCTACGTGTTTTGTACTTACTATATGACATAACTGAGAAATAAAGTTAATCTGTTTACTTTGTTCTTTATTCACACATCCTTGGAATGTTTTAAGAGAGAAAACTAGTCTTACAGCTTATGTTTAGGTATATATATTCTGTTGCCATAATGGTATATATTCCTTGTACAATTTTTTTTATGAGTTGCTCGTTTCTTTGTAGTTCAGTCTTCTGGCTGGAAGTTAATCAGGTGCCTTCATACAGGGATACTAAATCATAGCTGATGCCTCTAGAAATCTGGGGAGCTGTTGGTTGAGGATTTTACAAACATGATTTACAAACCGTTAAAACATAATCTCAGATCCCAAGTTGCCTGAATTCTCACGGAAAGCAGTGAAAATTAGGGACCCTTGCTAACTCATTAATGCAAAATTTCTGCCCCTAGTTTCTAGGGGGACGGTTACACAGTTGTCCCCACCATCTGCCTGAAAGCAGTCGTATTTCTGTGTGGGAGAGCTCTGCTTCGGAGACAAAAGGCTTCAGCAGCCTTGTCTGCCCTCTTGCATCGGAACAAAAATTGCGGTTTGTACCACTAGATGGCAAACACAGACCACTCGATCAATTACCTGAGGCTGGCTGGGAGTTGCTTCACTTCATTGCTAATCTTCAGTTCCAGTCGGTGGTACACACAGACATAACCTGCCTAGGAATTTTTGCTACCTTCTTTACCTGGTGCAAAACCCAGATCAAGTAAAGCAGCTTTGGTCTGAAGTCTGTATTAGATGAACCATCAGCGAGGCTGAGCATGACAGCTCCTATGTTCCTGCAAAAGCAATTTCAGTTGTTTGATTTTAAGTATTTTTTCAAAGACTCACCATCTGATCCTGTTACTGTAATCTCTGCCTCTCTCTAGGGCTGCTTATCGTGTTCTTTTAGTTCTTAGCTCATTCTAGGCAGTAACATTTTCTGTCTTTCCCCTTGAACACAGCTTGATCTCACCTGCTTCCACGCGAATACCATCTCTAACCACTTCTCTTGGTTGTCTCTGAGACTGGTTCCTTTTTAAATAAATATCTGAGTGGCTCTATTCACACTTGGACCAAATGGCCAGCTAATACTGGTATCAGAAAAAATTCATTTCACTAGGTAAGCCCATAAATTCCACTTGATCTTTTAAGCACTCATAAAGATGACTAGAGAAAACCTTCTTCTTTCCTTCTGTTGGATGAGTCCCATATTCTCCATCTAGAACTGGTAATGTTTAGCTGATTCCTAGCATTTGTGTGCAATCAAAGCAGGGCCAGCTAATCCCTAGAGCTAAGAGGGGCTATATGCTGTCTTACATAGCACATATTTTATAGTTTCAAAAAGAAGTAACATCCTCATTCAGTTATATTTCATCTGCAATTTCCTAGCCTTTTTTGTTTCTTAACATTACTATTGAAATAATTTAATTTATCCGCAATATTAAATTGATTTTGAGAGCTGAAATTGAAGTTTAATCAGAAAAGTGAATTAAGGCAACACTCTGGCAGTGAGCAAATACTTTAAAGATGGTAATGGGCAGGTTCTATTCTGAGCTGCAGTGATGAAACCCTGCTGACTTAAATGGTTCTGTTTCAGGACCAGAGACTTGATTTTGGTTTGAGAAGCTTAAGAGGTTTTCACAACAGGACTTCTCTCAGAAAGTATTGTTTCATCCAAATACAGAATATTTTATGGAAGCAGGTCTGACTTTAACTACTTTTGAAACAATGGTGAGTCATGAAATTCTGAATATTTTAGAAACACAGTATTTTTAAGAAACATAGATTTTTGGACCAGGAACAATAATCAGATTATTAAACATAGTGTGACCTGTAGCTCCCTGACCAATACTAAACCTGGGCTTTCTCAAGGAACTGCTTTCAAACTTTACTTTTTTTTTGTTTTCCTCTAGCATATATCTACAATACTAATTTATCATAGGTTTTAAAATACAAGAAGTAGCTCAAAGTTACCCTATTTCTGCCCACCTATCTACTCAAGCACGCGACAGGAGGCAGGAGAGACGACTTACCCAGCAGAGAGATCTAAGAGCTGCTCATTGTTACATTCCTGAGGTGACTCTGGGGGAGAGTTTTTCTGAGATCTCCAGGAAATGCCTTTGAGACCAATTTAATATTGTCTAAAAAGAGATTTGTTTTTTTTTTAAAGAGGGAATTTCTTTAGCGAACTCCAAAACACATCTGATATCTAAAGGATTCTGAAATTTTGCTGCATAATCTTAATCAGAAAGCTCTTCTCTGATGTTCGTCATAGCCTTCTGTTAGACTCTGCCACTCCCTCCCTTCTTCCCTGGATGATTTTATTTATTCAATAATATATGCTTGAGTAGCATTTAAACTCATATATGTATAGCAATAAAGGCTGCTAAGGTGCAAAGACATTCCTGCAGTCCAAAAGCATTTGCCTCAAACTTGCATGACCATAGGTTTTTTCAAGTGTTTTTTAGTGTCGGTTGCATTAACTCTAAGATGGAAGAAGGTGAAAGTGTCATGGTAGAGCCTTTCTAAAAGATCTGAGTTCCTTTTACTAGTATTTATTAATACTTTGAATTTCCTCTTTTAATCACAAGGTTTTTTTTCCAATGACCATCTGGGTAATTTTGGAAATATTCCTGTGTTGTGTGGCCCACGTGTGGTCCATAGACTCTAAATGAACTATATCAGTGCAGAGAAGTAGATGGCCTCAGAGAACAGCAGAGAGGTAGATTATCCAAGTATTTAAGTATTTGCTTCTTTCCACTGGCTGGAGAGTTTAACGTCCTTATGAGGGTGATTAGTTCGTTTAATAAAAAAAAAGCTGACTGTCCCTGCCATTGAGCAGCATGTAATAAATTCTTCAAGATCTAATCTGCTTTTCCTACGTTAGGGCACATAGTAAATCTTGCTTGTGTTTTTCTGCATTTTTCTGCAGATGGTCTGAACAAAGCATGGGTTGGTTAAAAAGAAAATTAAAGATCCAGTAGCTTTGTTAAATTGCAGGCTTCGTTGTTTGCTGGAGTCACTTCTAGCTGAAAATGAAATGCAGATTTCAGTCAGCAGAATAATGTGACCAGGGTAATTGTAAACTTGATGACAATGTTTTGTGTAGCCAATATGAGTTTTACTTTAATGTAATAAGATTAAGAAATGCCTAGAAACCACATTTGCAAGATTGGAGAGAAAAAGGTTTTTTCAAAAAGTAGTTCTTCAGAGCTTTCTCTAAGGTGGCATTTCTGGACACCACTAGACTGTGGTTTTACAAACGATGCTGTCAAGGTCGCAGTTAACACCACTTGTACCTGAGTAGGCCTGCCATGTCCTTTTTGCAGTTTTAGCACAGTAGGTCAGAAGGCAGACTGGCAAAATGATAGCTGCTTGAATGTTATTTATTCTCTATGTGACCTGATAGTATGCAAAAAACATGTTGAATGGAGATAGAATCATAGAATCATAGAACAATTCAGGTTAGAAAAGACCCTTGGGATCGAGTCCAACCATTAACCCTACACTACAAGTTCACCCCTAAACCATATCACCCAACACCCCATCTAAACCAGTGACCCAGCTGCAGTGCAACTGTACTTCAACAGAGGCTCCAGGTAATCCATCAGGGGCCTAAATCAAATGCCTTTATTTGAATGCCCGCAGCAT